GATCGTGCTTATTCTAAAACTACATCACCTCTGTCTGCAACGCAATATCACATAAAAGAAATTAATTAATTAACATAACATATATGGTTGTACAACCTCCACAAGCGTCAATTTTCAAGTTCAATTTTGATGAAGTTTGTGATAGTTCAATCACTGGCGCAGCTTAACCCAAGAAGTGCTTATGCATTAGCTTGGCTCGCCTTTGTTCCAGTGGGTGAAAGTCACAGTGGAGATGGTCATCGGATGGATGACGCAAAGTCCATTTATGGATGTCTTGTGTGGTTATCAGCCTCGATTGTAGGGGTGGCATTTTAGAACCAATCCGTTAACCCAACCCAATGCACTCGTTAAAGTTAACATTTGGTGGATGCTTAATAGTTCAGATCGTTAACGGAAAACTCTGTTAATAACCTGTTATTTTACAGGTCATTTCGGATCTTCTCCGAAGGCGTTGAAAATATTTCTGTAATTTCATTAAAAGAAAAACTTAATCCATGTTTCCTTCCATTTCCATAGCATATGATGCTGTAAACAAAGCACCATGAAAGGATTGGATGAAGTAAACAAGTATAAAAAAGAGAACTATTTTCTTGGAATAAAATCTAAATTATTTACCTTATCATCTGGCCGACACATTAGGCAATAATAAATCACCTCAAATTTCTTGCTTTTTACAGTTTTTATCAAATTGAAGATGACATCAATTAGCTAATTATTCTAACTGGTAACCCACAAGGTTTCTTAATTGCACATATCCTTTAAGCAAATCAGAAAAGAATCCTTACGGCTAATATTATATTATAGGTTAATGTGCAACATGTAAGGTAAATTAATATTGAAACTAAAACTTCCACTAATTTTCTATATCATAACTTAATTGCAGATCAATACAAACCAAAACCATGATTTTGGGTAAAAAAAAACCTTACTCAGTCGGTTAATACGAATGCATATCATCACAAAATTGTCTGTCTTTTTTTTTTTTTTTCCTTTTCTCTACAATCTTAATGAAAGTGATATGAATCATTGAATCATTCACCATTAACATACAAAATCATACAATTTGACAACAATTAAGTATGAATCAATAAGACCAATAAATTAATCCATATTAACTCTAAGTGCTATTAGCCTCGAAATCCTGTTAAAAGGACTAACAACTGACCAATTAAAGCATTTGGAATTGAGTATAGGCAACAAGAAAGATTAACAAATACATACACATAGGTACATAAAGATTAACAAATACATACACACCAGGTATATATTCGTGCAATCTAAACATGTTGTTATCCTTTTAGTCATGATTCAATTTAATTTCGTCAACCACCAATACTTATTAGCATAATTCATGAAAGATGGAATAATAGATAGGTGTATGTCACCCTTCAACGCAAAACCCGTATGATTAGAATTCAATAACTTATTACAAACAAGTTACTGATTGTGAAGCTCAAATTTTCTTTTATTCTCTCACTTGGGCAAATATTCATTAAAGTGTTCTTTCAAAGAACGTACCTAAATATAGGGGTGGGCAAATAGTGAAACTGAATCGAACCGCGATAAAATAAACCGTAAAAAACCGTGTTGACAAAAAAAAAAAGTTTAACAATCAGACCGAACCGTTTATACCGGTTTCGATTTTCATGTTGGCATAACTGCTTAGAACAGAACCGAACTGTGAATATAAATAATTAATTGGGTTTTGAAAATTTTGTGAATTTCAACCGTTTTATCATGTTTCTTAATAAGAATGCTTCGGTCTTTTGTTTCTAGATTGTTAAATTAGTAGCCACAATGGATTTGATAAGCTAAATTTGTTAGTTATGTGTGTTATGTTTTGTGAATTGTTGATATGAATAATATTCATTAACTTTGTAAAGTTTTGGTGCCATTTAACTTTTTAAATCTTCTTCTATTGTAGTTTATCATTCTTTATGATTAGTCATGCATGTTCTTTGTTGTGTGATCCAATTACTATCTTTTACTATAAAAATCATTTGACCTTTTTATGTACTCTAAATATATGTTTGCAAGATTCAAATGATTTAGTATTCAGAGCCGTAAATTGGCATGAACTGAATCGGAACCGTCGTGAAGCGAACCGTACGATTTTAGTAATAAATTTAGGTGAAACCACACCGACCCGAACTGTTGATATTTTCTCGTTTCTGATTTGAAGGTGGAATCGGGCTGAACACCTCTACCTAGGCTTGTCAATTCCTGACATGACACGACACGAAATTAACAAGTGTTTAGGTCGACACGATAACGAATCGGGTCGTTATCGGGTAACCTGATAAGCACATGTTAAGATAAAGGGTTGGTTCGGGTATACACGTGGGTAACACGATACACGATAAGCAAAATATTAATTTTATAATTTTATAACCCCAAAAAAATACTATAATAATTATGTATATTAATTTAACAATTTTATACCCCTAAAAACTATAATAATTATATATATATATAATTAAATATTAAAAATTGGTGACCATTGGATCGGCTTAAATATACATACCATTCAATTTCTTATTATATGTACAAAATAAATAAATTTAAATCTACTTAATAAATGTATATACACCATTGAACTTGATGGGATATGAATTCTACAAAACTAATTTCAACAATCCAACCGTCAAACTTGTTTGTATATGCTTCGAGATCGTATACGCTAAAAATCACAAAAAACAAACATTCAAATATCAAGTAACGGGACAAAACTTTTCGACGGTTATCAACGAAAAATTACGATTTAACAGTTATTTTAACTTCGATTTTGATGAATTTTTACATATAAACTCCTTGACCTTATATGAATACAATGAATGAACTCTATCTTCAATTTAAAATATTTACACTAGTGAGTATGAATAACCTCTTAAGTGTTAGTGAATCTATTGTTTTGATGGGATACGCATTCTACGAAACTAGTTTCAATGATTCAACCGTCAAACATGTTTGTATATACTTCGAGATCGCATACACAAAAAATTGCAAAAAACAAACATTCAAAGATCAAGTAACGGGACAAAACCTTTCGACGGTTATCAACGAAAAATCACGATTTAACAGTTATTTTAACTCTGATTTTGATGATTTTTTACAACTACATTCCTTGAACATATATGAATACAATGAATGAATTCGATCTTCAATTTAAAATATTTACACTAGTGGATACACAAAATCTTATGTTATACTTAATGAAAGTATAAATAAACTCTAAGTGTTAGTGAATCTATCGTTTTGATGAGATACGCATTTTACGAAACTAATTTCAACGATCCAACCGTCAAACTTGGTTGTATATTCTTCAAGACCGCATACGCCAAAAATCGCAAAAAACAAACATTCAGAGATCAAGTAATGATACAAAAAATTTCGACGGTTATTAACAAAAAATCACGATTAAACGGTTATTTTAACTCTGATTTTGATGATTTTTTACAGCTACACTCATTGACCCTATATGAATACAATGAATAAATTCGATCTTCAATTTAAAATATTTACACTAGTAGATACCACAAAATCTTATGTCATGATTATCGATGAAAATTGAGGATTTTGTAAAAGGAATAACATGCAAGCTTTGAGTTATATTGGCAATGTTTAAACTTTTGAGAAAGGCTTCACAACCTTGAAAATAAAAACTCTTTCATTTTGCATATCCTTGTACATTTAATATTTTGTAATAGACTAGTAGTGTATAGATGTTTGTTTATTAGGCTCTTATTTTCGAGTGTAGATGTAGTATTTAAACGACAAATGTGTTTTAAAGTTTTGAAATAATATTTATGTGGCAATGTGTGGTATGTGCAAATTTAAGGAAAACAAATATATTTTTCTTAACGGGTCGGATCACTTTACCCTGTTAAGGACCCGTTAAGATAATAAGTGTGATACGACACGACCCGTTAAGATAACAGATGTTACACGAAAACGATACGAACACGACAGACACGACCCATTTGTCAAGCCTACCTCTATCTAAATATAGTTGCTTATTGTTTAAACGTAATATAATAAATATCAAAAGTTGCTTACTGTTTTAAACGTAATATAATAAATATCAAAACCAAAATAAAGTTGTCGAAGATGATTTCAACAATGAGTTATATTTACTTCAAAATTTATCATAATTAAATCATGCACTTCATTAACTCCAAAAATTATACAAATCAAATTGTATGGCTCCATTTATGCTTGGTTGAACCCACTCTCTAGCAACATGGTATGCATTTTTAACAAATTGTATGATCAATTTTTTTAATTTTTGATATTGTTTACAATATGGAGTGAGAAAGTGGATTAAACCTCACAGTGAGTTAGCCATAATAATTTGGTTAGAAATCACCTTTGACGAGAATTGAACCTAAGGGTGTAGTCAATTTGGATTTCAGAGGATTTTGATGAACTTTTTGTAGGTGACAGATTTTAAAGGATTTTAATAGACTTTACAATTCCATATGGATTTTGACAAATTTTATATAGATTCCTATTACAGATTGTATGGATTCTTTCTTGGATTTCTTATGATTTTGTAAAATTTAGTCAGTACTATCCGGTGACTATTTATCCTATCCGACAGAAAGAATCAGTACAGTCCGAGCTGCCAAACGAGGCTTAAGGTTGGAGAAAAAGGGGAAACTGAAACCGACCTAGTTCATACCATACCTATTGGTTTGGTTTTTTAAATTTCGGTACAAAATTGTACAACTTTCGAAACCAAAGTTTCGATTTCAATTTTTTATTTTCAAACCGTGCCTAAGCATATTTTCATATTTTTTAAAACCACATGTCAGCATTCTATGAATGAGGATCTTCTTATGTCTGTTTATTGTACGCTGTACGGTTAATTTTCGTCAAATACTGTTCATGTTTAATTTTAAATAAAAATATTTAATATAATTTTTAATCGTATGATGTACTATGAATATAATTTGAAGATCGAGGATCCTCATGATCCGGAAAGGACCCTCATTCGCATTCTATAGGTTGTTGGAGAGCTTATACAAAGTTCTCTGGACTTGTCCACACCATAACTCTATTCTTCTCCCGGTCTGCTGACTCTCCTCACGCAGTCTCTCTCTGTTGTCTCTTCTCTCAGCCTCTCTCTCAAACTCTTTCGTCGGCGATATCTCCTGCGAATTAGGAATAGCTGATCCTCTCAGACCCGACTCTTCACCCCGTGTCCGCCTTTCATCGCCGCCGAAAGCAACCTCGACGCCGTTGCCGGCGGAGGAATGCCGTCATAGGAGCCACGGAGCACTCTGCTGCTGGTGATTTTACTTTTCTGACCTTATACGAATTTGTTTGTCTGTTTGATGAGAAAATATGGAAAACTAGAGAAATCTTTTGAATTTAGGGTTTGCAATAACGCTAATTTTGAGTATGATTTGTGATGGGTGTTGGGTATCCTTCCTCTCTTGTACTTTTTCCTCTTGGTTTTTGTTCTTCTCTTCCAACTTATGGCCTCAATGATATTAGATAAGGCATTTTTAATGATGTTGCTAATACTCCCTTAAAGCATTTTGATTTTTGACATTTGGTTATGTTGGTTGGAGAATTGGAGACTTAAGATTTTGATTCTTGAATGCTATTGCTCTCTGTGCATTTCCACTTCCACAGTGCAGAGCACACAGAGCAGGAAACAAAACCCAGAAAAACAAAAAAAACAAAAAAACCGAAACCACGTTCGGTACCAAATCGGTACTCAGTCCAAAATCGAACTGTACCGGAAATATTTTCAGTATCGGTTTCTCTTCATACCGTACCGAAGTGTATCTTACCCACCCCTTCTGAGAGATGCATTTGAATCAATAACGAAAATGGCTTCGTTTTGGCTGGCCTCTCGCTCGTCACGTAGGTTTCTGAAACCTTCAGTGTCCCTCTCCCGCACCCTATTCGCAGTCTCTTCTTATCACCCAACTACAGCCACCGCCATTCCTAACCCTAACCCTAACCCTTATCAGAACGCAAGCCCGTTTGGCCCATTCAATCAAAGGCACCGTTGGAGTCCAAGCTCCGTTGAATTTGATCTCAGACTCTTAGCGCACCTCTCCAGCTTGCCTTCGTCAACTGGCGAGAAGAACGACGGAAATCAGGGCGGCCATGGCACGAAGGCTGAGGCTTCTTGGATCGACTTGTATTTGCCGAGGCAAGCTCGGCCTTATGCTAAGCTCGCTCGCCTTGACCGGCCCATTGGCACCTGGTTGCTCGCTTGGCCTTGTATGTGGTAAGTGATTTTTACTTCAATTTTTGAACTCGGTTTCTCCAGTTCATTGTTTTGTAAAGTTCACTGATAACAATTTGGATTAAGCTGCTTGTTTTGTTTTTCTGTATAAGCGATATTCGATTAAACTAATCTAATAGAACTCTGGTGCATAGAGGGGAGCACATTTACTTGTTGAAGTAAAAACAAGAGTGTTGTGTAACATTGGCAACGGTATATTTATTTGTTTAGTTTGAAGTTGTCTGAAATACATATGCTTGTTGGTGCAGGTCAATAACATTGGCAGCAAGCCCAGGGCACCTTCCTGATTTTAAGATGATGACACTATTTGGATGTGGCGCTCTGCTTTTGAGGGGCGCTGGATGCACCGTAAATGATCTCCTTGACCGGGATATTGATACCATGGTAACGTCCACAACCATTGCATTTTCAGTTGGACTATGATGCTCGTTTTGGTTTGGTTTTTGATCATGTGATGACGAGTATGCATTATTGTTTCAGGTCGCACGCACAAAGTTGCGGCCAGTTGCAAGTGGTGTTTTGACACCCTTTCAGGGGCTTTGCTTTCTTGGATTTCAATTGCTTTTGGGTCTTGGGATTCTCCTCCAACTGAATAATTATAGGTTTGTATCTTTTGTATCTGCCCTTAAACCCATGGATTTTTTAATTGTTCTCTTTTAGTATATAAATCGGGTTAAACCAATATTATCTGCAAGCACATGAAACTTATGTAGTTCGTTGGAATTTTCAGCCGTGTTTTAGGGGCTTCATCTTTGTTGCTAGTTTTCTCCTATCCTCTCATGAAGAGGTTCACATTCTGGGTAATTAAACCTTTTGTTTCTTATCCTAAAGCTTTATTCTTTAACTTAGACGTGCTGTTTCATAACAGTGGACTGATAATTTGGTAATGCTTTCATGCTTGGTGCAGCCTCAAGCCTATTTAGGGTTAACCTTCAATTGGGGAGCTTTGTTAGGATGGGCTGCTGTTAAAGGAAGCATTGATCCAGCTGTAGTGCTCCCATTGTACTTTTCTGGAGTATGCTGGACACTTGTGTATGATACGATATATGCACATCAGGTACAACAAACTAGTCACTATATTGCTCATGTGGTCAGAAGCTGTGGTTTCCAATATTTGATTGTGATGAAATGGATTATGGAGGATTAAGAGAACTTTTCAAATGTAATCCAACCAAAGATGTTTCTGACCATGATTGCAGGACAAAGAAGATGATTTGAAAGTAGGTGTTAAGTCTACGGCTTTGAGATTTGACGATTCAACTAAGGAGTGGATTACTGGCTTTGGAATTTTGTGCATGAGTAGTCTTGCCCTTAGTGGATATAATGCTGAAATTGGTTTTCTTCTTTCTTCGTTTGTGTGCATCTCTGTTCTTTTTTTTTTTCCCTTTATCATTGTTGGAACTTCAATCTAAATTTTCTTTTTGTTTCTGCCACATCCTCACACCCAAATCGTTAAACTTTGGAGCAGGTTGGCCATATTATGCATTTTTGTCGGCTGCTTCTGGACAATTAGCTTGGCAGATATGGACAGCTGACCTTTCATCCCGGGCTGATTGCAATAGAAAGTGAGTATTACAGTCATATGATTTTGCTTTCAAGTATTCATATAGGTTAAATATGTGTATTGCATCAATATTATTTTTGGCTTCTTGCATATTTGTCCAATCAAAGATGAACAGAAAAGGAAAGGTGGAGGTTGGAATTGGTTTTTGAATAGTGTAGTGTGTGTTGGTCGGTCTATGAAAAGAACAACACTGTTTAGGTGTAAGAACTATTTTCTTCGTTTTGCTTTGAACATAATCGGTTGCTGAGCTTGCCCTTGTCTTGGTTTCAGATTTGTGTCGAACAAATGGTTTGGTGCTATTATTTTCAGTGGAATCCTGTTTGGAAGACTTTCATCTTAGGGGTAAAGAATGGTTGGATGCAACCTCGGGGAACTACAATTAATTCGAGTATGGGTCTCTTTTACAAATGCATGTCTTCACCTTCTGACTGCAACAGAATTGCATACTGATACGGTCGAAGTTTAAATGATTTATGGTGACCTGCTTGTTAAATTTGCAAGAAAGCTCCTTGATTGGATAAATGGAGGCTGCGAGATTATGCGTGTCGCGTCTACACTAGAGGTCTCCCACTGCAAGATATTTGCTATTGTGGTTGCATAACTATACACCAGACCCTGTTCTTGGGGCTTGTTCAATTGTAAGGGCAGAACGATTTTGGCAGTCAATGCATTTGCAACTAACGTAGTAATATCCATTTCCTAGGTGGCAATTTTGTTGTAACATCATTCTTTTTGGTGGTCGCACTTGGTGCGATGGCAAGTGCCTTCGCCCATAAGCGGTAGGTCTCGGGTTCGAGACTTGGGAGCAGCCTCTCCATAAATGGGGGTAAGGCTAGCCGACATTCACCTCTTCCAGACCCTGCGTAAAGCGGGAGCCCTGTGCACTGGGTACGACCTTTTTATCATTCTTTTTGGTACATGAGGATATAATTGTAAGTTCACTATTTCGAGTTAAACATCAATCAAGGGAGTCGTATGAGGTTAGTTCTTTGTGGATACCTTTTTGTTTCCTGTATGAGTTCATCTGTGGAGATCTGTTCTGGCAGCTGCAGCGGCGGATCACGTAAATTGTACTCTAAATTTTGTATGTGAAACAAAATAGGAATGAACTTTGAAGATATGGTGTCTCAGTTTGCTGCTTCAGTTGCTCTCACGCACGGGGAGCAACAGGTGATCGTTGTGGATAAACAGGAGGCAATATCCTTGAAGACCTCTAAGGTCTTTCTAGTGGATCATACTTTCAAGGAGACGTCCAAAATCGAGGAGTATAATTAGGTTTTAAAAGCTACAGAGAAACTAGAGTGCCGATTTGCTCAACTTGCTGCCTTGCAGTAAAATATATGTACATGCCTTGTCAAGCACAATATTTGCAAGCGAATAGGAAATTACCCTCCAAATTCTTTGAGGCAGCAGTTTTTGGGTCCACAGCTCCTCCTTAAGAGTATCTGCAATCGCACGAACAACATATCAACATATCAGCAATAGCAATTGTTAATACCCACAACCCCTAATCCCGACAAACCTAATGCCTAAACCCAGCAAGATGTTTTTTGTTCTCTCCCCTGTTGCTCTGGTTTTAGGGTTTTGGGAAAATATACCCTTCCATGGCAGTGTGATCTCCCCTGTTAGGAAGTAAATAGAAAAAGAAATTAATTTATTAAAACATTGATTGGGAAGAATGTGTATTAGGCGGCCGTCTGGTTGGAAGAGTTTTCAAATTATTATTTATATGTCAATATTTGGTTCTTATGTTGCACATTTTATATTTGATTCACTCACAAATTTATAATTACCGCTGTAAACTGATCGGAGCATACTTTGCAGCACAGTAAGATTTGGAAAATGATGCATGCAAGAAGAACAAAGTTTAAAAATCAGAGATGGGTGCTTCAACAAGGCCTACCTACATTGTTCATGGTTCTTCTCAATCTTTGGGGCATAAAACAGTCTCGGGAAGCCAAGGCGGTCATGGTAGTATTATTAGAAGCCGTCTCATAGATTCATAGTGTTGCTCCTGGTTATAACCGCACTGATTTGCACGTAAGGTCAAATCCATGGTTGAAGAGTAGCTAGTTACGTGCCTACAGTTCTGAAGGTGACAGAAGGAATGTAGGTGAGGATAGTCGAACACCAGTAAAAGGTGATGCCGACCTTGACAAAGGGAATACTTCTCAAGAAAAGGCCAAGGAAGATGGGAGAAATTTTGATGCGCATTCTCTGCTTGGGGAACAAGATCAAAAGGAATGCCTTAATAGTCAAAAGATTACCATTGAGAGTACAAAGAAAAAGTCTTGTGCACTGGGTACGACCTTTTATGCTCTGCTTGGGGAACAAGATCAAAAGGAATGCCTTAATAGTCAAAAGATTACCATTGAGAGTACAAAGAAAGAGTCGCCTTTCTCAACTAAACGAGAGAAGTTCCAGAATGAGTTTTTGAGGAGGATTGTTCCGTGGGAGAAGATAACTGTGTCATGGGATACGTTTCCTTACTACTTCCAGTAATAGCGTCTCTCTAATGTTTTTGATTGCTTCTTTCTTTTCTCTCGCTTATCACTTATCAGAAGATTTATACATTTGTTTTCATTTTTTGTAGTTAACCTACCAAAAACCTTCTGGTGGAATCTGCTGCTTCCCATTTGAAACAAAAAGTTTCCGTCCACTTATGGTTCTCGTTTGATATCTTCAAATGGGAGAATACTGCTTCAGAGTGCAGCACTTGCACAAGATCTCGAAGTTCCCCCTCTTGGCGCTAGACGGCAGTGTACTTGCTCCTTATGTAAGATTGAAATAGGAAGCTATTTCTTTGTTATACTGCAAATCTTATATGTTTTGTGAGTTCATAGGAAGCTATTTCTTTGGGCTTATTTGGGAGAGTTTATGTAGAAGTGATTTTACTCGTTAGTTATTTTGGTATTTTGAAAGTTTCATCCAAGGCTGCAAGTGATTTTTGCGTTTTTCAAGACAATCACTTTTAAGGAGAAGCACTTCCCACATGTTTATCCATAAAACCTCTTAAAGTGATTTTATTCTCACTAAAGCACTTTAAGGTTCTGTCCAACAATCTAGAAGTAATGTTGTCCCTCCCATAATCACTCCCAAATGGGCCCACGTTATCTTATTATTTGTTCAACCGTTATTTTTGGTTGAACTACTTGTGCAAATGTTGTGTTCATCTCTATATGAGAACTTTTTGTTGTTTGTTCTCAGGAAATCAGTATTCTTGCTTCTTCATTTTTGCAGGAGATCGAGTGAAGTACATTTGGCTTTCTATACATTTGGGTTGCAGTTCTTTTGGATGCTAAACAGATGACAGGAACTGAAGTGGACAGAGAGGAGAAAGACGCAGAGCAGCGTGCACATCCACCAGTTTATTGCCACACAATACCAAAAGATAAGAACTTTGTCTTCTGATGCATGAGGTTGTCCATCTATAAACTGTATATGGATTTTCATTGCTTGCAGGTATTGCATGCCAAGCAACCTCTTGTTGTCTCTTTTCTAGACTCTTCTCAATGGATATTTAGAAGTTTTTGAAGAGTTATCAGGTCCTCTGGTTTTGACTTGCGGGTAAAACAAAGTTGAATCCGGGTCAAAGGAGAAAGAGAAATTTGCAAGTGTTAAGGACTCCTTTTTGTTGGATCTCTATTTGTTGTTAAATGCTAATCTTTGTAATTTTCTTTTGATACAGCAGTTTGGAGATTCTGAAAACCTGACCAAAGCTCTCTTCAAACAGCCGCTTTCACTGAACCTCCAGCATCACTGACACTTCTCATCATCTAATCCAAGTTCTTCTAACCTAAGGCAGTGGTTAAAAGCTCCAAGATCTAGACATGATGAATATCAAATACTTAGAAGCATGTTCAAACATTTGTTGAAGAAACTTAGATTAATTGAAAGGAACCTCGGGAGTAATGCTTCCTAGCTTCCATTCTCGTAGATGATAAAATCAATACTGATTCTTACTCAAGCATTACTCCCTAGCTTCCTTTCAATTAATATGAGTTTGTATAACAAATGTCTGAGCATGCTTTTAAAGATTTGATATTCATCATGTCTAGATCTTTGAGCTTCTAACCACTGCCTTAGGTTAGAGGAACCTGGATTAGATGATGAGAAGTGTCGGTCATGTTGGAGGTTTAGTGGAAGCGGTGGTTTGAAGAGAGCTTTTGTCAGATTTTCAGAATCTCCAAATCGCTGTATCAAAAGAGAATTAAATAGATTAGCATTTAACAACAAAATTACAAAGACAATTCAATAGGTCATTGGGGTTTGAAGAACAAAAAGCCCCCGAAATAGTACTTCACCGACCACTCATTTGGAAGTTTCGTTGTTTTGTTATGTAAAAATATTAGTAATAAAACTATAGTTAGCCACTAATCAGAACCAAGTAAGCAACAGAGTGAGGATGAATGAAGCAGAGATACATACTTTACGGGATGAGGGTTTGTTGATGCGGCAAGTACAAATCATCTCTTTATTGTTTTCGTTATTGTAACTTCACAGATGAATTGCTTTTTCTCATAATTTAATCTTAGATTATTGATTAAATGGCTATTTGTCTTATAAGCACATTACAAATGCGCACAATACCGGAAGGAGGTGTACCTTGATGGACCATGCGGGTAAGATTGGTCTTTCTTATATTTCTTACATGCAGTCTCTGACTAATGACTTCTATTTTGTTACAGTTGGATCGAAACAGTCACATTATATATGCAGAGGAAGAAGCAGCTAGAACTCGACTTCTTATTGATGGAAGGACTTGCTTGCTTCAGGCACCCACATTTCCCCTTTTTCTTCTTCCCATAAATTCCTTTCAGCAATCTGAGTTGGTAGTGAGGTTAAGTCTGTTAAATTGGATGTACCCAGTCAAGACCTATCTGTTGAAGTTGATAGTGATGCGTAACATGTTGGTTTTGAGTATTTATGAGTTTTGCCATTTTGTGTTTCTAGGAGCAGCAAGATTGAGTTTGGTGGAAAAGTATGCAAACGTTGGAATTTTTTAGTGATTCTAGTTAGAGCTGATTCACAAGAGATCGAAGATGATCATATCAAATTTTCAGCTCAAAATTCCCAGCCAATTGTTTCCAGCTTAAGAATGAAGACAGGTCAGCGTGCTGACAAGGCAGTTTGGACCTCTGAAGGTTGCACAAGAGATAAGTACATAATTAAAGCCTAAATTGAGGAAACTTCCTTCTTAGCTTTTGAAGCTGACCTTTCAAGCTTTCTAAGGACATCTCATTCATTGAAATCTAAGGACTTTTGGTCAACTAAACGTTATGGCCAAATCTGCCCACTTCATTTGGCTAATAAAAATAAGAAAGTAAAGGCACTTGTTTTGTGCTTTACTTTGTCATCATCACTCGGCAGACAATGGGGGTTTTCAATCCCACTCATTTGGCCTTTGTAGCATTAGAAAAACAGAAGCTTTTGGAGGAGGAAAGTGGAACACACGGCTGTTTATTCCTTTGTCTAATAAAATAAGGTAAAGAAGGGGGACAACAATGATGGCCTTCCACTTGTGGCCTTGGTGCTTTGAAAAATCATTGCCTTTTGTTTAAGGCAACACACGACAAAGAGAAAAGGAGGGAGGGCAAAGAAGAAGAAGAGAACAGACAGAGTTGCAGCGAGCAACATAGCAGAAAGCAGAAGGGATGCCGCAGCTCCAAGAGGATCGGAGAGCTCAGGAGATAGCTTCCTTGTAAAAAAA